AGAGGTACAAGAGCCCAACAATGAATGTAACTGTACTGTATCCCTAAAATGTACCAATAAACTCAATTAAAGCTGAAAAAAAAAACAACAACAGAGCTAAGAGACAACCTGCAATGTGGCCAAAAAAATTTTTGTCAGCTGTTCCTCAGACACAAGACTAATATCTAGAATATATAAAGAACTAAAAACAATCAGACTCCCCCAAATATAAAGACCCAATTCAAAAATGGGCATTTAAAATGAACAGACACTTCTCAGACAAACAAGTAAAAGCAGCAAATAAATATATGAAAATATGTTCCACATCACTGGTCATTCGAGATGCAGATTAAAACAACACTGAGATTCCACCTCATCCCACAAACAATGGCTGCTATCAAGAAATCAACCAGTAACAAATGTTGGCAGGGTTGTGGGAAGAAAGGAACCCTTCTCCATTGTTGGTTAGAGTGCAGACTGTTGAAATCAATATGGAGGTAGCTCAAAGAACTAGGATTAGAGGTCCCACTTGACCCAGCTATCTCTCTGCTGAGTATCTTTCCAAAAGAATTAAAACAATCATACCACAGTGATAAATGCACACCCACGTTTATAGCAGCATACTTTTAATAGGTTAAACTTGGAAGGGCCCAATTGCCCATCAACTGGAGACTGGATAAAGAAGATGTGCTTTTTCTATACAATGGAGTACTACTCACCGTAAAGAATGAGAAATTAGTCATTCATAGGAAAATGGATGCATACTGAGGCTATACTCTTAAGTGAAATAAATAGGACACACATGTGTAACTACAGAATAGTTTCTCTGGCATGAAAATCTAAAAGTGTCAATAAGGTTCAAATTGTATAACTGATAACGTGAAATTGGAAGAAAAGGGTTAAAGGAGTAGGGAAAGTTGGAAAGATAGGGAAAAGGAAAGAAGGGAAAAGAAAAATACAAGAAAAGGAAAAAACAGAAACAAAGTCTTTGTAAATAGGGAAGGGTGGAGGGGGTGAAGGGAGGGCAGAGTTATGGGGAAAAAATAAGAACCATGATACATTATGTAAAGGTACAAGATCCCAACGATGAATGTAACTGTACTGTATACCTAAAAAGTACCAATAAACTTAAAGAAAAAACAAACAGAAACCAAGATGTATCATGTATATGTACCCATTCCCCAAGATGACTGTAAATGGCATGTACTGCAAACATGTCCTAATAAAATAAAGAATGTTTATTTTAAAAAAGGACTGTTGGTAGCGAGGTATGAGCTTAGTGTGTGGCCCACTGTCTAGGCAAGCAGGAGTGACCTGTCAATCACGGAGATCTAGTACAAGTGCCCTGCACTTGGGACTGATAAGAGAACACTGTGCAATTCTTGGGTGAGTTCAAGCATGTCTTGGATAGGATAATGAGGAGTGGGAGATACAAAAGACAGTTATAGCCGCTGCTAAGCTCTTGGTGAATGTTCCCTCTTCCATGGTGCCCACTCTTACCCTGCAGAGCTCTCATCCTTCTTTTCCTATTTTTAATTGGCCCCCCACTCACTCTGCAGAGCGTGTTTCTTTTCCACCATTAATAAATGTAAAACTTTGCTATCTTTTGTGTTTGTCTTGGTCAATGTGTTCAGAACACAATCTAGAAATCACCTTTAGAAAGAGACTACAGCAGTGTAAGTCCTGGTAACAGTAGAACTTTTAATTTGTGGTAGTATGACAAATTTTTAGGTTTGAAGTTCTTTTAAGTAGATTCTTAGTGTTGTAATGAATGGGATCTGGCTGTTCTTAAAGTTCGCTCTACAAGAAATCTTCATGCTAATCAATTCATTTTGAAGTTAAATTGTTTAAAATATGCTGCTTATCACTTAATACATCCTTCAACTTATCTCCACATGCAAATATTATGTCACACAGTCTGTAAAGCTGAAAGTAGATCTTTCAACACTGGATTTATACCACTCACTAAATTAAAAGGTATGTGAATACTGGCAACCGATAATATCTGCCTGCCTATCTTCTAGATTAAGGAGAATTGTTCATGAAAATATCACTTCTATGAAACTTTCATATGCAATTTGAAGATGCTGTTATAAATTGTAATGTGGTTGTAGGGGTATTATCAGGACATCAGTGTTAGAATCCCTTGGTATTTAACAATACCTCCTATGGAACGAATAAAAATTGATACCAGCACTGAAGGTTGTGTGTTCTTTACTTGCATTTCAATGAGCTGCTCCAAGATGAGTGAGACTTCCTGATGTGCACTGTGTCACAACTGTCACAATCACATGCTTTGTATTAACGAATGTAAATGGCAATAGAAGATTAAAACCCTCTTCCTTTGTTAGCATACTAGTCAATTTGTATAGCTTTACAAGATGCAAGGGTAAAATAACAGTATAAAGTGACAATTCAAAAAGAAGACATGTTTGCACACAGATTTAACAACATGATAACTAGTTTAATGCAACCTGGCATTCTTCGCATCAACACTTGCCATATAGGAAAAAAAGTTAGTTACTTTGTTCTATAGTGCCTTCTTTTGAAGTTCACTTAAAACTTCCAAGGAAAAAAGTTAATGCATTAAAGTGCTCTATATTTTCTTAATATCCATTACCTCCTCAGTAATTGAGTCTAATGAGGAAGTGGCTTCATCATAGACAATGACTGGGGGGTCCTTCAAAATGGCTCTTGCAATTGCCACTCTTTGCTTTTCTCCTCCTGGCAAAGAAAATTTTTACTTTAGAGAAATATAACAGAGAGATGAGCCCTCTTCTTATAAGTGTCTTTAAAACATGAGATCAAAATACTGTGAATGTTGCTGCAAAACCTTATGATGTGTTATGATCCATCTTATTCACTGGATCTGGCACCATGAGACTTCTGCCTCTTCTCCAAAGTCAAAATAACCATGAGAGATAAAAATTTTGAATCAATTCAGGACACTGAGTCAGCCATAATAGTACAAAAAAAGACTTTCAGAACTGCTTCATAAAGTGACAAGGCTGATGGGTGTGCTCAAAGCAAAGGAGTATTTTGAGGGAATCAATGGCAATGTGTCTTTTAGTGTAACGTATTTTTAAAATTTAAGCATTCACTGTATTTTTTATACTTCTTTTTTTGTTTGTAGTGTTTCCATTGATTAAATCCAAGTAAAATATTTAGCATATACTTGTACTCTTGATCACTGCCCATTTTACTGTGCTGTAGAGTCTAAATTCATATATGATATCCTTTTCCAAACTAGCTTACCTTGAACATAAATGTAATGTTGAAATCTGACTTCTTGGCAGGTGAAAAGAATGAAAATGAGGAGGAGAGGTATTATCTGTGATTGTTCTTATCAGAAATATGGTCTTTATATAAGCTACTTTATATCACAGATACTCTTAAGGAACAGCGCTCTTAGATTAAAAAAGGCAATATTTGACAATCAACAAAGCCCAAAATAAATTCACTGGAACCCTGAAAACTTGATGGCATTCCACTATAAATATTTAATTTACATCTTAACATTAAAAAACACCATTCAACCAGTTTTTTAAAGGATGTTTACTGATAGGAAACTAGTATTTTCACAGCATTCTTCAACATCAAGTGTATATACTAGATAATTACTATTCATTAGTTATTTGTTATAGGGCTCAAGCATAACCAATTTTCAAAAACTAAAAGGAAGCAAAAGCCCAAAAAGGTTAAATGATTTAAGGTCACAGAGCAAGTTTCAGCAGAATCTAGACTAGTTTGAATCTGACTCCTAGTACAATGGATTCTTAAATATAGAAATAAATATTTAGGAAATAGTTATATCCTAAATAAATAACAAAAATATTTAGTGAAATAAAAAGAGAAGGTTCAAAAAACCAAATTAGTTTTGATCAGTGGAACTCCTGCAGGTCTAAAGTCATTACTGATTATATGAAACTATAGTTGACCTCAGGCCTATTTACGGCTTCATCCTTTTAAGTTTTAAATCATTTAGCACAGTAGGGTGTACACAGTATGTATCTAATAAATGTGAATGAAAGAAGCTGGTATGTAAAGAAAAGGAATGGAGATTAAAATTTATGCAGAATATTCTTTATGTTTTTGGCTTACCCTCACCCTTAATCTATACATTTCCTCCCTAAACTAGAATGAAGAATAGAAGTTGAGAGTGTAGTATATTTGTATAAACTGCATCAATACATACTTTCAAGCATTAGATATCAATATCCATTTGGAATTCAAATCACTTGAGGCAATGAAACACTTTATGGAAGTTTTAAAAAAATACAAAATAATTTTAGTGTAATTCATTCTTAACCTAGTAATCTCATATAAACACTTAAGTAGGAAGATACAGGCCCCTAAATTTCCTTTATCATGAAGCTATCAATGACAAGAAAAAGAATGGGATCAAGGATAAGAAGGCTAAAGTATTTAAACACCCCCTAAGAAATTTTGAGAGACACATTATTCACTATGAAATTACTTCTCCCTATACTTACTACTTTCCCAAATGAATAATAATCTTAGCTTTGCTTTAATATTAAGGTCATGATTAATAAATTAAACTGATCTACCTGGACTAACATCAATAATGTAAATGGCTCAAACAAATTAGTTTGAAGGGAGTATTTGGGTAGGAGGTGGATCTAAAATTTTTGATCACCTGAAAGCTTGAGTCCTCGTTCCCCTACTTGGGTGTCATAACCATGCGGCATTCGAAGAATCGCATCATGAAGTCCAGCTAATCTTGCCACTGCATACACTTCTTCAGGTGAAGCACTGATGTTTCCATACAAGAGGTTATAGTAAATAGTATTATGGAAGAGGACAGCATCCTGAAAATTTGTACACAAATATGTAAGTTCATTACAAAAATCTCAAGTCATAAAGACACAAAGGCATTAAAAAAAAACACAACAGCCTCTTTTATCACCTGTATCCCTGCAATTCTATTTGCTTTCCTAGACCTAGTCACCTTGTATAATTTGCTGTGATTGCAGACTTTTTCTGTGCATTTATATGCCTAAACATATGCTTTTTAGCCCAAAACAATGGGGGCACTTTGTATATACATATATAATTTTTTTTGCAAATTGCTATTTATACTTAACATATTTTGGAACTTGTCCATGTAAATGACAGAAACATAGTTGGTTCTTTTTAACAGTGTTATATTTCTATACTATAGATACTACAGATACACCATAATTTATTGATTTCTCTACTGATGAACATTAATGTAATTAACAAATTCTTGCTTCTATAATGTTGGAATAAACATCATTATATATATGACATGTGCACCTGTGTATAATTCTGCAAGAAGAATTCCTAGAAGTAGAATGAGGGGTCAAAAAATATACATTTAGCCTTTAATAATATTTCCCAATGGTCTTCCATAAACAACAGTAATGTATGAGTACACTTCTTTCAATAGTGTCTGAAGTTGCCAGTTCCCCATACCTTCAGAAACCTTGGATATTAATAATTTTAGTTGTTGCTACTTTGAGGTGGAATATGATTTTTATTTAAAATAGCATTTCTCTAAATTATTGAGCTTGAAAATGGTTTCCTATATTTCTAAGAAGTTTTTACATTGTACTTGAAACAGAAAACAAATAATTTATTATACTATTTTAATATATTATACTATGTTAAGATAACACTATTTTCTGAAAAAAGTTAATAAATGCTAACTGATAATTTTGAAAATATAAAAAGGTAAAATAAAAATCAATTAAACACTGGACTTTTCGCATGACTTTTGCTAAAAATAAGAAACAGAAAAAATAATTTATTATACTATTTTAATATATTATACTATGTTAAGATAACACTATTTTCTGAAAAAAGTTAATAAATGCTAACTGATAATTTTGAAAATATAAAAAGGTAAAATAAAAATCAATTAAACACTGGACTTTTCGCATGACTTTTGCTAAAAATAATATTTTAGCTGCTGTTACCACACACAAAAATTGGGGAACTATGTGTGAGGATGACTATGTTACTTTACTACAGCAATTGCTTTACTACTTTTAAAAAAATGGGGGAGCACTGGGGATTGAATTCTGGTCTTCTGCACTGAGCTATATCCCCAGTCATATTTTCAATTTTTAATTTTGAGACAGGATTTTGCTTAAGTCAATAAGTCCAAGCTGGCCTGGAAATTGTGATCCTCCTACCTCAGCCTCCCCACTTCACTATTTATAGGTATAACATCATATTGTATACCTTAAATATATAGAATTTATAAATAAAAAACAAATAATTTACAATCCCAGAATACAGCAAAAACTAGTAACATTTTGGTGTATTTTCTCCTATGTTTTATTTCTATTGGCAACAGTATTAAGATAGTATTAAAAACTGTGATATTTTGTTTGACATCCTCTTTTTCATTGAACTTTGTACCTGCCCATTGTTCATGACACTGAGAATTAACAACACATTCTTTAACAATATTTACAAATGGCTGCATATTTGGCACTTTTTTTTTGTTTTGGATATTTTCATTAGTTTCAACTTTTGTTATTTAAATAATGTTGCAATGAACATCATTAGTTATTCATATCTGTTTAATTCCTCACTAAAATTTCCTAGAGGGAGAAATAGCAAACAAGGAGTATGACTACTTCTTGGGCACTTCATAAATAGTCGCAATTTTCTTACCAAGAAAGCTATCCTTCCACTAGCAAAACAATGGAGTATTTTACAGTTTTTCCTAAGCTGGATATTTTGAATTTCAAAATCTTTGTGAAGCCGACAGGTAAAAAATGGTTATCTTGTTTTTCATATATACAGTTAAGGTCTCCAGTGAGGATGAGCACCTTTTTTGGAGGAGGTACTAGGGTTCAAACTCAGGGCCTTGCACTTGCAAGACAGGTGCAGTACCACTGAGCTAAATCCCAAGCCCTCTTTTGTTTACTGATCTTATATAATTTTCCTTTGTGAATAAAACTTTTTATTTTTCAAAAGGATGAGGGTAATCATTATAGTACTCAAGAGAATGACGAATGATGACTGGCCCTGTCACATCCCAGACAAACAGTTCAGGTCAGCATTTCTCAACATACAATCTACAAGCCATCTCTTAGAATCACCTACTATACACACTCAAAATGCATGTTTCTGGATAGTACACTGGCTCCCACAAGCAGAACTAGAGTGTGTGGGAAAAAAACTGGAATTTCAATAATATCCCTAGGTGACTCTTGGCCACTAAAACTTGGGATTATCAGTGAAAAGAGAGGACAGAGAAGAGTGTCATCTGCCGGAGACCTTTTACAAGCTATATATCCCTGTCCAATCACTTTCTCAGTCTTTCCCTTCCCCTTCTCCTTCCCCGTTGTTTTGTTCTGTTTCCCCAGAGATTTGATTCTGGTTCCACTAGCCCACTTTCTAATTAATGCTAGCTGCAACAAATTCCCAGGTCTCTAAAATCTTTTAACATAAGAAAATATACATTATAAAGCTATCTACTTCTTGTCTTCTCAGATCTTACTTTGAATTTACCCCCCCCCACACACACAAAGTCACTTGGCAAATGTTAAATAATATGGGTCAGACACTGCTTGGTAGTAAGAGCACAGTGGTGAAAAAAGCATACAAACTTGAGGCCGGCAGCCAAACTACCTCATAATTATAAATTCACTATGTCAAAAGCTCTTCAAAAGTAAAATAAAAGTTTCTGTTTACTGAACAATTATGTGGTGGATAATGTGCTGGATATTTTACATATACTAACTTTAATCTATAATTAAAAAGTACCTATAAAGTAAATGGTATACCTATTTTAGAGATGAGGACACTCAGGCCCAAGGCCATAGACTTTTAAGGCTTAAAGCCTGGATTAGAATCCAGGTCTGTTGGACTCTAGTTCTATGTACTTTCCACTTATTACGTTATCATTCTAGGGCTTAGAAATCTTTCCACCATGTAGATTTTCAATTCAAGTTTTTTTTTTCCTTCTTAAAAATTCTTTTTGGTAAAAGAACTTTACCTGTGGGGCCTAACACTACCCACTTTATTAGCATATGCTGCTCCTTAGATTGAAATTATTCTAGTTACATATCTCCCAATCCAATAAATCTTCCAAAACTTGTATTTTTCTGATTTTAAATACCTGAGGTACCACTCCCACTGCCCTCCGAAGGCTTTCCAGGCTCACATCTTGTATATTTTGACCAGCAAGGTAAATACTACCTTTTTGAGGCTCATAGAAGCGAAACAACAGCCTCACTATTGTGCTTTTCCTGAAATTGGAGATTAGGAAAGGTTATTTAGCTCCTATAGGCATTAAGAACCCCCATTTTTAAACTATAGTAATTATTGAATTAGGATAAAAAAATCACATTCAGAATTATTGATCAATAATGTAGAAATGCATAAATGACTAAATTACCCACCCTGATCCACTACCTCCTACGATGGCCACTTTCTTTCCAGCTGGGACTTCAAAAGATAATCCACTAAGGACTTTCTGTCCTTCAATGTATTCAAAATGCACATTATCAAAGGCTATTGTAGCCGTCTGTGGTGTGATATGAAGGGGAGATGTCATTGCTTTGTCCTAACAGAGAAGAGAAAAAAGAAAATCACCATTTTACATATTACATTGATTATAGCTATACAGACAATTTTTTGAGAGAGAGAAAAAGGAAAATAACAGGGAAGGAAGAAGTGCATATAAGTGGAATTAGAACCTTCTAAGCATGCTTATAAAGCCTTTTTTTTCCAGTCCTCACTGCTAAGGTAAAAAATAATGAATGTTTAGATTGATGGGAATTTTGTGCGAAGGGTGAGGGAAGGGATGATGACCAAGGGAGTATGGGGTGAAGGATATGAAGAGAGGCAATCATATATTTCATATCATTATTAAGCAAAAGTAAATGAAGCATAAGTACAAATCATTTAACAATGTAGTTTCTAGGTAGAATATTCTTTGCTAACATTGTAATTTTTTGTTATACAAGTAAAAGCTGTAATAACCTCAATATATATAGCAACTTTAATTCCTGTAAGAGAAATTTAATCTGCTAACATGATATAAAATATGCCCTTTGAATAATCCAATATTAATGGAATGATCCTTACATACTTTTAGAAAGGTACTATATAAATTACTTACTTTAATTCGGGTGTCTACCTTGAGTAGAGTAAACAAAGTGTTCATATCTATGAGGGCTTGTCTAGTTTCTCTATATACAGTTCCCAGAAAGTTAAGTGGTAATGAAAGTTGAAAAAGCAGTCCATTCACCATTACTAGGTCTCCAACAGTAAGGGTACCTTAATATGTAATTGGCAGAAGGGGGAAAAAAGATATTTTAGATGAATGCTATAAACTTTCCCAAATGAACACAGAGAATTTTATAGCACATTATTATGAAATCCAGTTCAAATTATACATAATCAACAACTTTCAAGCCAACTCAATTGCAAAGTATTTGAATGTATGATTTAGGTAATATAGATAACTTTGTTATATGTTAAGCAGAAAGGAAAAAGCCCATCTATACATTAAACATAACATATAAGGAATGCTTTAAATGAGGAGAGAAATGGAAGACGTAAAAGTCTGTCCTTTTTTCCAAAAGTTTCTTTGTAGTATAACATAGAAAATTTTAAATAATAGTATATATTTTAAAATGTCAGCAAATGGGTATCATGACTGATAATGATAAACTTCATTACTAATGTTACAGTAAGTGAATAAGTTCTAAATGAGTGGTGGGGGTAGAAAAAAGAGGTATGGACATTATTTACTCCTGAAATGTTATGCAAGGGAAAAACTAATAGATTATAAAGTTATTGTTAACTCCAGAAAAGACAGCTTTCATTTTAGTGCTTTAGACTAAGCAACAAATTAATGGCATTGCTTTCCAGGTCTATAACAGAAATTAGAAATACTAAATATTAAAAGAACAGTTGCTCTTGAAAGAGTCAGGTTATAGGCCTATAAAATGGTTAGTTAGTAAAACACATGATACAAAAAGGAAGACACTCCATGCTAAGGCAGTTTTATTGAATATTCTAAGGCTAATATATATATTCCTTTCATTAATCTTTATTTGTAGAAGTTAAACAGTATATATAAAAATATGAAAACTACAGGTCCATTACCTGCCATAATTCCCTGACTGGCAAGCACCATTATAGTTGTTAAACCAATACTGAAAATAGCACTTTGGCCGAAGTTCAGCATAGCCAGAGTAGAGGTACTTTTCAGTGAAGCAGTCTCATATGTCTTCAAAAATCCATCATATCTCTGTGCTTCATAATTTTCATTATTAAAATACTATAAAATATACAAATATATAAGAATAGTAGCTATGGACAAATATAATTGAAATGTATTCTTTAAAGTGATTAGAATATGTTTCATCAGACTTCATATATGACTAAAATTTTGTAGTCTAGACTTCATTTTAAAAAACTTTCAATACATTGGACTACGGTACTTCTATAGTTTTCTAGAATGGATTATACTTGATAAGACCACAAAATCCAACCAACAGACATTTACTGAATTTCTAGCTAATCTGAACATAGATCTTAAAAAAGCCTTCAGTAATACTTCTTTCAAAAAAAACATTTTCCCAGTCTCCTGAGATTTGGAATTAGCAGTTCGCACTACCCCCATTCTTTTTATTCTTCTTGCTTAGTTATTTACACACTTACTTTATCTCCTGGAGTAGACTATGACATTCAGAAAGCGCTGTATTCACTTTTTTTTAAACCACCTTCCCCTATCACTGCAATTAGTACAGTACTTGAAAAATGAAAAAATAAACAAATAGATGAAAGAACTAATGAAAAGCCCTATGCAAGGCACTCCGAGGGATAGAAAGATGGTCGAGGACTTACACGCCAGTTTGATTAGCTTAATGTCCTTCCAGAGTCAAGATGCTAACTATGTATTTATGTGGGTTCTTTACACATTAACTAAGAAGATAAAATTCTAATATTGCCAAAGAAAAACTGAGAAGATAAGGTAATTTCTAAGTAAAAGAAAAGCCCATAGTAAATTCTACAACACCTAGAGATACTATCCTAATATGAACCTGTTAATTTATAGCCCCTATTAAATTAAATGGCAGAACAAATCTTAGTGCTGTATGAAAGTTACAGGAAGTATAACGAAATGTATTACCTTCACAGTTTCATAATTCAGCAGTGAGTCTATAGCAGCATTGCCTGCATCATTATCTGCTTTGTTCATTTCTATTCTAAACCTAGTTCTGTAAGACAAAGATTTGCACAGGCATGAAATGTATGTTATAAAAGCATAACTAATTTCAAAACATCAACTGGCCTCTGGGCAATACCATACCTCCACCGCGTGACTGCAACTGTGAATGCTGTGTATGCACCAAGTGTTCCTAGGGTTACCAATGCAAACTGGGCACCACATTTGTAATACTGGAAAAAGAAGTCAAAGAAGAAATGAGAAAAAGTTGCTATTATTGTCAAACAGGATAAATTATACCATAGCAAATCTTAGTCAAAAATATTAATAGAAATACGATGGTTGGAAGTTGGATATGTCAATAATGGATGAAAAATCAAGTGCCTTAGATAATCTACTTTAGGTAATATGAAAAGACAGTCCAAACTGTACTTGCCACATTTATACTATTCTCAGATGCTAACACTTAAACAGTGCAATAGGCTGAAGCGGAATAAAAAGTATATATGTACATGCTTTTTAACTATAAAAAAAGAAACTGCCTAAAGTGTTATGAATGGTCAGTACAAACAGGGATTCTGAGCATTATCAGGCCAATGACATATACAAAAAATCTCTGCTAAAAACAATTCATAAACACTACTTAATCCTGATCTATGTATAGGACTAAACAGTTCTTTACAATAACAACATGATAAAGAATTTAGGCCATGCCCTGAAGCTTGAAGCAAAATAATTAAACAAACTGCATAATCATTTTAGCATCACAGAATTTTACTCTCAAGCCTGTGGGCATGAAAGAGCACAATAGCTTCAAATATTCAATTAATACTAAGAATGTAAAAAAAAAAGCTTTTTATGAAACATGCTTTACTTACCAGAACACCACTGACAAGTATCATCTCAAACATGATAGGGAGAAGATTAAACACCAAAGCACTCAGGACGAAACTGATACCTCTTGTCCCTCTGTCAATAGCTTTAGATAAAGCTCCTGTCTGTCTGCTCAGGTGGAAACCAAGATCCAGGTTGTGAAGATGGAGAAAAACATTTTTAGCTATTCTTCGGATTGAATTTTGGGCTACTTTGCCAAATACTGCATTTCGAACTTCATTAAAAAAGGCAGCTCCAGCTCTTGAAACACCATCTAACAATACATTAAAAAGAAAAAAAAATGGGGTGTAAAAAAATAGAATCACAGGAATGTAAAATGGCAAGGGCTCATAACATATACAATGAATAATTCACTTGTATCACAGTATATTTATACTTAAAGAAACCTAGAAATCATTACCCTAATTAATACTAACCTTTCCATCATCATGAATCCTTTTCAGTGTTATCTTCTCCCAGATTTCAGATATTGAAAGATATTTTCCAATTAAAATACTTTTAATAAATAATAGCCCATGTGGTCTTATTGTGAATAAATGTACAGTATTGGCTGAAGTTGTTTATTTAATTAAATTCCCTTAATTAACAAATGGTAGGATTGAGATTCTGAAAAGTAAAACGGCTTGACAAAAAGTGTGCCCCTATTTATGTCTCCAGAGTCTCAAAAATATCCTTTTTAATTCATGGAGCCACACAGCATTCATATTCTGTTATTTTCAAATTGTAAATTTGTGTGATAGTTTTCAAAATATATTTTAACAAAGTATTAATGTTCATATATATCATCATTTAGCTATTTCTATTTAACAGCTAACAATACCAGCAAGAAAATATCTAGCCATACTGAAAAGGTTGTTATAAATTTAGTATCTTATATTATTATTTTCTAGAATATGGAAGATGCTACTATCATACCAAATTTTCAAAGTATTTCATATAATAAAAATTTTAAAATACATATCAAAAGGAATTTCACATAGAATAAATATCCAAAATGCTAAGTTGTGTTTGTAGTGAAAAGGTCATCTGCTCAAATATAATGAAACCTTGTTGAAGAAAGTCAACATCTGTAGGTAGATTAAAGAACCACACATACAGCCAATCAGAACTGCTGTTGCCATGGTTGCAACTGTATTTGGTGCATCACTCATGTTCAGCATGTTTCCCGACATCTGGTTGAGGCTGTCTACAGCGTATTTAAACATGAAAGGAACGATGATATTCATGGCCTAAAAACACAAAAAGACTAATTACCCACCATATGTAAAATGTTTATTTATAAAAGTGCAAATATGTACCTTAAATTAGATTTATAGTAATTTTTAGATATTAACCATTTATTGGTATTGGAATGATTTCCCCAATTTATAAAGATAAAATTTCTGGCAGTGGGGAAGAGTTTTTACTTTAGGGTTTCTGTATCACAGTGCCATATTAATATGCATTTATAAGCTATGTGAATTAGTAAAATGCTCCTGGTTCTATGAAATCATTCTTGGCCAGCCATTTAAAAATGCTCTTTCTGAAATCTGCAATCTTACAAAGCTCATGGCACTTAAAGGCAAACTGCTTTATATCATAGTTATTTGTGTATGTTTCCTACTACATTCTTGAGGGTCTGTACTGCATAACTCTTTTTGTTCAACCCATGCTGAGTATAATGTTTTGTATATAGTAGGCATTCAACAAATATTTAAGATAACTTGTTCACAAAAATGGTAAACTGAAATTATATAGCAAAAAGGATCAAAAGCTGATAAATTACAAGTATCTCAGGTTGATTCCCTATTGGAAAAAGAACAAAACAAAACTGTAGCTCTTTTTGTCCCACAAAGATTCTTTGCTCCAATGCTATACAAAACAAAAGCCATTGAATACCAAAATAAACTTTCATTAACCCATATCTATCTCTTTGAGGATGACAAATACCAAAAGAAAATTGTTAAAAATTGAGAGTATAATATTATCATATGTACAAGGCAAGTATTAAATCATTCACATCCTGTATTTTCTGCAGTCATAGTATCAAAAACATCAACCATCATTTAGGAATAGGAAGTTATTCTCTGATTACATTAAATTGATACATATTAATGTAAGCAAAAACAACTCTAGAAGATTTAATAAAAATATTGAAATTCCAGTTCTCATTCCATTACTTTGCCACACATCTTTGTAAAACTTAATAATTCATTACTGGGAAGTCCATTTAGCAATAACTGATAGAAGTTATGTAAATCTTACCAATCAATATTTCAAGGTAATGTACATAAGAGTTCTTATCAACCAAGCAGTTGCACTTGCTTTCAAGAATAGCATTAAAATACTTAACAACTGTTGGATTGCTTTCAAGAATGTAACATTATGAGATAAATGATTAAAACTTCTAAGTTTTCTAAGTTCCAAAATATAATCTAATACAAAATTATATGGTAGGTCCCCAATACTATAAATCTCTCAATTTTGTTTGTCTTATAACCATATAATCTTAGGCAATTACTTCTCTTGAAATAGTCTCCCTTCCCATTTCCAGCTGTCCATTTTTGGAAAGCACAATTTGAACCCCATTTCTTTCATAAAACTTGCAGACAGTTTGGCACTCTTCATTCTCCAATCCCTATCTTCTTTTATGGTTTATACCTCAGTATTTATCATTTTTATGATAAATTTCTCATTTACTTTGCACATGTACAAACATGGATATACTGCCTTCTTAACCTAAGTACAAATTTTTCCTGGCAAAGCAAATATTGGTAAATAATAGCTACAATGTTAGGCATCGTTTAATAAAGATAAAAGCTGACAGAAATAACTATGGTATAAAATGTGTATCATTGCTACAGCTGAATATTATACATTGTATATCCAGATGTGGATATAAATCCAAGAGCTCACGTGGTCATAGAAAGGGCTTTTGGAAGGTGATTGAATTATGGGGATGGTATAGTTGACTTATTGTTAGGAGGTAGGGCCTGGTTGGATGAGGCAGCAAGTGACCTGGAGGATATATTTCCCTCCCTGATGGTTCTCTTTATTTGCTGTTTCCCAGCCGTCCTGAGGTAAAGAGCTTTTCTTCTGCTATGTCCCTCTGCCTTGGAGCCAGGGGACTATGGACTAAAACTGTGAACCAAAATAAACCCCTCCTCCTTTAGGTTGTGGCTGTTAGGTACTATGTATGTCTCAGTAATAAGAAAGTGACTGAGACACGGAAGAAACTCAAGGGTCCATGACATTTAATAATTTGTCTGAAAAGCAGCAAGGCTCAGATTAAAATTCAGGTCTGATATTGGAAATAAGAATTTTTTCTAGTATATCATAACTAGGAGTACATTAGCAGATTCGAATGAGGAGTCATTTTTTGACCCCTAAAATGGATGCTTTCAAATGTACTATTTAAATCAGCTAGTTGTAAAGTAGGTAAATAATTTAAATAAATCTGAGCAGATTCTAGACTGTCCATATAATGAAGCCACATACTCTCATGTATTTTTAAATATATTTTTTAAAGGAAAAAAGGTGATAGCTACAGCTAGCATGCAATTCTAACTAGCAGCTTATTATCTTTGCTACAGTTATAGTGAGTGATGATTGAAATCAATGTATCACCAATAAAGTTGTAAAATTTTACCTTCTTGAAAATGTTTTTGGGCTTTGGTCAAATTTGAGAATGTCCTGTGCTCACTTTTGCAGCACATATACTGAAATTTGAGAATGTCCCTGTAAGCATGCAGAACACATGAATGTCATATGTCCTGTGTTGCTACTGGCAGAAAAGGTGTAGTTAGCATAGTGTTAAAAACATGGCACTACTTCTAACTGAATACTACGATTTTTCCTAAAAGAATAATTTTAAAAAGGAAAGAAATATACCATGTGTATTAAAAGGAAAGAAATACACTAATAAAATAAAAAATATTACATGCAGATGTTCTCATTAGCACTTAAATTCAGGTTTCATGGACCTTGAGTTGTGTGGTGGATGGGAAACAGTAAATACTGATTTCCCTACCAGAAGTAGACTTAAACTATCCAAAATAAAAATCTTTTAATTAAAAAAAATTTTTTGAAATAACTACAGCCTCACAGTATGTTGAAAAAAGTAGTATAAAGAGACCTGTGTGCCCTTCACTTACCATCTTCTAATGGTATCATATATAGCTACAGTTCAATATCAAAACCAGGAACAAAGCATGGGCACATTACTGTTAGTTTTGTAACTATTCCATCACAACAAGAGAATTCCCCTTTGCTTACATTATATATTCACTACCATCCCAACATATCCTACTCTAGTCATTATACCCTGGCTACTACTAATTTGTTCTTATCTATACAGTTTAGTAATTTTGATAACACAATTATTAATGAAATAACAAAGTATATCTTTTGAGACTGGCCTTTCTTTCACTCAGCATAATCTTTTATTTATTTTTTTCTTCTTTTTTACCTGGGAATGAAACTAAGGGCCTCAAGCTTGCCATGCAGGCGCTGCACCACTGAGCCACATCCTGAGCCTTCAGCATAACCTTGTTGAGGAACATTCAAGATTGTTGCATGTATCAATGGCTCATCCTTTTTTAGTGTTGAGTATTATTTCATAAATGTATCAAAAGTTATTGAACCATTAGTCCCTGAAGGATGTATTTTTGTTGTTTCCAGTTTGAGAATAACTTTGAGTAAACATGTTATGAAAATTTTTATACAAATGGATATAAGTTTTCATTTCTCTGGGATAAATGCCTTAGAATGTAATGCTAAATGATACAGCAAGTCTATGTAGAAATCTTTCAGAAAAAGCTAAACTGTTTTCGGGGTGGCTGAAATTTTTATCACATTTTACAATAACCAATAAAGTATGATTAACTCAGTTTCTCTGCATCATCACCAACATTTGGAATTGTCCCTATTTTCTTATTCCAAAACTAGTAATATAGGTGTACAGTTGGTATCTCACTGAAATTTTAATGTGCATTTCCCTACTGGCAAAGATGTTAAACATCTTTTAATGTACTTATTTGCCATTTGTATCTCCTCTTTGGTAAAATATCTGCTCATATTTTAAGTACATTTTATAGTTGGATTCTGTTTTTCAGATACTGACTTTAAGAATTCTTTATATATTCTAGATATAAGGCCTTTCTTTGGATATGTTGTTTGCAATATTTTCTCCTAGACTATTGTATTTTATCCTACTGAGGAGCGTTGACTCCCAGATTTCTCAACAGCAATGAAGAGTTTCTTTTCCCATGAGTCATGGAAGCTGAGGTGGAAACCTACATTTTTACCCCAGCTGCAGTAATGATGCAACACCCTTTCCCAAGTAAAGCAATGTCACAGTAGGTCTGATAAACAGAAGATTATGCAGAGTCCTATAACGTAATACCCCAAATGTCCAGTTTTCACTAAAAAAATCAATTTTTTAAAAAGTTACCATACCAAGAACCATGATCACATCACTCTGAATAAGAAAATACAATCAACAGACACTAATTTCAGGATGAGACAAATGTTAGAACAATCTGGCAAGGATTTTGAAGTACTCATCATAAAAGCTTTTCAAGAACACTTATGAAAGTGCTTGGAAAAAATTTAAAAAATAAATGTCTAAGCAAATAAAATGAGGACATTAGCAACCAAATGAAAATTATAATTGCAATACACAAATTCAATGGATTAAGTTCCATGGAAGAACAGAGAATAGAGGACAGTAATTATATGAAAAGAATGCTCATTATCACTAATCATCAAAAAGTGCAGATCAAATTATAATGTCCTATCATGTCACTCTAGTTAGAATAATTATCAAAAAGACAAAAGGTATGTATGACAACCCTTGGATACTTTTAATGTAAATTAGTACAGTCACCATGAAAAACAGTATAGAGGTTCTTTAAAAAAAACACCTGTTTTTATGTTTTTCTACCATAAAACATCAATCCGACTATAATATACAAGGTATTATTGAAAACTACAGCAAATATTTAAAACCTTTTTAAAGTTTATTGCAGTAACAGATACAGTGCCATTACCCCCCCCCACACACACACACCATGTTCCCCCTTGGTTCAAACACATTTATCTCATTGTTCTTGCCACTTTCTTAAGCAGTCCTGGAAGCCTTCTTTTGTATTTTTAGCTGTGCTGTTGTGGCTAACTTGATGTCCTGAATAAAGAAATGTTATATTTCATGGTTATTTTTAATTTGGCAAAATCCAGAAGTTGTCTGGTGCCAGATCAAGTGAATAAGACCCATGATAACATATTATAATGTTTTTATAAGTCAGCTTTTTCATTGGATGGCCCTTGGTAGCAACACTTACCATATGAGTTTTACCACACCTCATAAAGACACTCATAAAAGAGGACTTCTATAACTGCTCCAGAAAGTGGCAAAAATGTGCCACAATTTGTAACAACTAAATCTGGGAAACAGCTCTAATGACCATCAATGGATGAATGGTTAAAGAAGTGGATTTTTTTATACAATGGAGAACTACTCTGCTATAAAGAAAAATAAACTTGATACATTTCTATGTAAATGAATGTACCTTGAGATCATACTCTTAAGTGAAATAATCAAGACACACATGTTTAAACATCCTACTGTTTCTCTGGTGTGAGAAAATGAAAGGGTAAATAACGACCAAAAGGTATAACAGATATTGTGAAATAGGAAGAAAATGTTCAAATAGTAAGGGAACAAGGGAGCGGGGAGGGGAAAGGGGAGGAAAGGAAAGAAAAGAAAAAGAGAATATAAGGTAAACAATGGAAACAAAGATTTTATAATAAGGAGAGCAAAGGGGTTGAAGGGAGAGAAGACTGGAAAAAAAAGAAGAATCAAGATATATTATGTACAAGTACAAATTCCCTATGATAGATGTGATCACATATATCTAAAATTTACCAATAAAATAAATTTTAAAAAAGAAAGTGTCAAATTTCCAGGGATGCCAACAGAATATACATTTTTTAAATGGAGAAAGAAGAGAACTGTTAACTTGGAATCAACCCTAAGCAAAATTAGCCTTCAGGAATGTAGGTCATATGCGGATACCTAATGTAAGAAAAACTAGGAGAATTAAGTTACTAGAAGACATAAAATAAAATTCTACACAGTACAGTTTGCAAAAATTACAGTACTATATTAACAAGATGTAGTACACAAAAAGACACCGAGACTCTTTAAATAAGATGTACAGAACTGAAAGAAAAAAAAAGATGGGTCATAAGTCTGAGCAGCAGGTTTTAAGTCCAAATAGCATGCCTTGAAATTAAGTCAAAACAGTCTCTAAACAGGTAAGTCATTAAATGCAGAATATCTATTTATTCAGCCCACCCAGATAATCCAGGGTACTTCCCCCACATGTGTTCTTTGACTTAGTCATAGATGAAAAGTCCATTTTTTCGAGTAAATTATCATCTTTATAGGCTCTGCAGATGAATACATGGAAATCTTTCAGGAGTCATTCTCTCTATCATAGTTATATATATAAGATATTTTCCTGGCATCTTTAGTGTTTCACTGATTTGTGTGTCACTCTAGCACTATGCTATCTTACAATTTTTTTTTGTTTTTGGTATTGGGGATCAAATTTGGGTCCTTGCACTTGTGAGGCAGACAGTGGAACCACTGAGGTAAATACCCAGCCCATGCACTATGCTATCTTAATTATTGTTTTGCAGTAAGTCTTAAGGCCAGGTAGTGTGATTATTCTCACTTGCTTCTTTTTTTCAATGTTGTTTTGGCTGTTCCAGTTTCTTGCCCTTCTATATAAACATTAAAATAGTCTTGTCCACAGCTACAGAGAAGGTTCAGTGTATTTGAATGAAATTTTATTAAATCCGGACTAATCTGGGGAGAATTGCTGTCTTTACTTGTTCAGTCTTGCAACAGGTGAATATATCTCTATTCATTTAGGTCATCTCTGACTTATTTCATGAGCATTGGTGGCTTTTAAACATGTTCTTGTTGGATTAAACCAGTGGTTCCCAAACAGGGGTGATTTTGATCTCAAGAAGACAATTGGTTGTATCTGGAGACATTGTGGAAGGAGCATCACAACTGAAGGAGGTAAGGCATGTTACTGGGATGTAGTGATTAAGTGGTTAAGCACACACTGCGAAACATCCTACAGCTCTTCCCACAAGAATGTCCAGTACAGTACTGTAGTTTTATGTACTGTTATACATCGCAGTACTACATGTAAGAGTTATACAAATAAAAGCAAAGTCATCAAGTTGCAATTTCCTGCGAACCATTTTGTTCTGAATACTGTAAAATACTACATGCAAGATAAATTAGAAACTACAGAAAAGACTTCAGAAAGTTAACTCTGATTGGTAGTGGTGGTTTAGTTGACTTGGTACATATTTAATGTATGAAAATATTTGGGGTCCTTCGTGTCCTCTTTTCTATGGTTAAGGGTAGTACATTATTGATTCTTAATGTATTTCAATATCCAATTTGTGTTTGACTAATTGTTGCCACTTCAGTTGCTACTGCCAGGGTGGCACAGTTGTAACTATTAGTATATTTTCTCTATATGCTAATATCTAGATTGCCTTTGTGTCATTAACAATATGACTGCATCTTTCCCTCCCAAATTAATAGAAGTAGATGCATCTTGGGATGGAGGCAAAAACCTATAGTTAGCCATGCCCAAAGGGCATCAATGAAAAGTAGACACAAAACAGAGATCTCTACACTGCCAACAGAGTCATTCTACTATAAGTACTCACAAACCTCAGTGCACACAGAGAACACATAATAACTTACATCAATAACAGAAATATATCAGAAGACAAAGCAATGAAATGCCTCGAAAAACTCCCAAAGCTGATGACTGGGGCATAGAGGGAAGAATTCAAAAGCTATACAACTAAATTAATGATAAAAAGGAGATCAAAAACAGAACAATAACAAGATTGGAAAGCTCAAAGAAGATATAACTAAACACATGATGGACTTAATAAAAACACCAGTATACACAGGACACTAATAAAAAATTAGATGATCTGAACAAAATTATATGAAATTTAATGTGACCAGTTCAGGAAAGAATTTGAGGCCATGAAAGAGAACCAAACAGAAGTCCAGGATATTAAAAATTCTATTGAAAGTATCGGTAGCAGGAGCGACCAATGTAAGGACAGTGTCAGAATTCTAAGACAGGACTGAGCTCAGTGATCAATTACTCAGATACTTTGAAATCAACAAGGGAATATAAAAAAAATGAAGGCAATCCTCCTGCCTCAACCCCTTTACTGCTGGGATTATAGGTATGCGCCACGATGCCTGCCAGAGAAGCACAGATCTAAATGCACAAGATAAAAATATAAAACTGAGATGAAAACCTTAATGACCATGAGTTAGTCAGAGGTTTTAGACATGAAAATAAAACCATAATACATAAAGAAGTAAAGAATAAGGGCCAGGGACTTAGTTCAGCAGTTCTGCCGCCTGCCTTGCAAGCACAAGGACCTGAGTTTGATCTCCAGTACCAAAAAAGAAAAAAAGAAAGATAAACAGGAATTCATCAAAATTAAAAACACGTGTTCTACATAAGATATAACTGATGGAAGAAAAAACAACAAGCTATTAATGGGGAGAAAAACCTGCAACTCATGTCATTTATCCAAAATATATACAGAATTCATTAAGCTCAAGAGGAAAAACAAACAGCTCAGTTTAAATACAAAAAACAAGATTTAAACAGATAATTCACAAAAGTGGATATATATATATATATGTATACATACATATATATATATATAGTAAATAACTAAACACGTTACAAAGATGTTCAATTTTATTAGTTAATAGAGAACTGTAAATTAAAACCATAGGATTTTGCTGTACACTGGATAATACCAAGCATCAACAGCCAGAAAACAAAGCAAGTAGAACTCTCACCCTGAACTGGAGAGTACACAGAAGAATTACAGACATTACTCATTTAATGAATTATCTGTTTAATGATTATTCTGACTTACAACAGAGGTTGTTCAGACTTATGACCTGCTGCTCTGATTTATGGCCTTTTTTGTTTCTACAGTTTCGTACATCTTGTTTATAGAGCCTCAATTACTTTTTTTTGTATACAACACCTTGTTTATTCAGTACTATAATTTTCACTGATTGTACTGTATAGCACAGTACTATAGCTTTATATGTTCTGTTATACATTACAGTACATGTAAGAGATATGCAAATAAAAGTAATCAAGGTGAGTTTCCTTTGACCATTTCGTTTTTCAGAATATTGTAATGTAGATGGAATATTACTCAGCCATAAAGAACGAGAAAATAGATTCATTCATAGGAAAATGGATACATATTGAAGATATACTCACATAAGTGAAATAATAAGTCACACATGTGTAAATACCGAATAGTTTCCCTGGTGTGAATAATGTGCAACAATGCAGTGAGTTTCCTTTGACCATTTCGTTTTTCAGAATATTGTAATGTAGATGGAATATTACTCAGCCATAAAGAACGAGAAAATAGATTCATTCATAGGAAAATGGATACATATTGAAGATATACTCACATAAGTGAAATAATAAGTCACACATGTGTAAATACCGAATAGTTTCCCTGGTGTGAATAATGTGCAACAATGCACAAAATTCTAATAAGATTACTGACAATATTGTAATGTACATACTATATACAATTCCTCATTTAGCCATCAATTCATTTAATGACCTAGTTGCAGGACCATCACTCCATCATTAAACAAAGAGTGTATGTGGTCTGGAAACAGTTTGGCAGTTACTTACAGAGTTAAAAGTAAACAAAGGCTGGAGATGTGATGTGGCTCAGTGGTAGAGTGCTTGACTAGCATTCATGAGGCCCTAGGTTCAATCCCCAGTATTATAAATAAATAAATGAACGAATGAATGAATGTAAAAAAAGACACTCAGCACAACACAGTATTCTACTCCCAGGTATTTCTTCTAGACAAATAGAAAGTTGGCTTCACCCAAAAATCTGTACCTGAATATTTATAGCCCCCTTCATTACAATTACTAAAAAAAGTAGAGAGAACCCAAATATCCTCGAATATGTGAATGTGTAAACAAATGCTGGAATATTCATCTCATGAAATTATCTTTCAGAAATAAAAATAAACTGGTATTCAGTGGACGCCTGAAATTCATGGATGGAACATTCCTAGATCACTCGAATTGAAAGAAAAACACAAATTTCAGGTATGGTCAGAAAACTTCCTATAAATGCTTATTTTTATAGATTAAACTTTAAATATGCTGTTTCCCTCAGTTATATAATTTAATAAAGTATTGCATTAATAAAGCCTTAGACAGTGTAGGGTATTTTGGTGGCATCTTAGGGATCTTAGGACTTTAAGAAGAACAAAATCAAGAACACTTAAGACTGCTACATGCGGTACAGCAACCTCTTATGATGCAGAATGTTGCTATATCTGCTGTAGATGAGTTCCAGATCAGCAGCCAATCAGCAGCAAGGAAAACTGAATAATGCTCTCGGATTGGCTACTTGCAAACCTTCCGCCAAAAAAAAAAAAAAAAAAAAAACAATTGCCGAAGATGTTTGCAGTATGCATAAAACTGCGGGGTTTTCTGAGAACAATTATTAGTTAGGTCCTAAGGAAAAATCTACAAATAATTGAGGCCATGAACTCTGATCTGCGACTTCACAGGGTTATACTATATTCAATAATTTGGATGAACAACAAAAGCACCATGTTCAGTGAAAGAAATCAGCACAAGAGCTTAGAGATGACATGATTCCATTTAAATGGTGTTGTAAGTAATTTATGTTTTTAGTGTGTCTCTCAAATGTTCATGCCTTAGTCCCAAGTATACAGGCGTTCAGTTGGTGAATCATCAGGAGGTGGGACCTAGGGGGCAATAATTAGGCCATCTGTGGCACTATCCTTAGAAGAGATTAATGAAGTTCTCCATTTAGCCCTGGAAAGGAAATTGTTATAAAAAGAGTGAGTTTAGCTCTGAATCTCTCATTTCCTATCTTGCCATGTGATTTCTGCATGTGCTTTTACCACGATGCCATCCACTGTTTGATGTAGCAAGATGGCTTGACCAGATCCAAGCATATGTTGGTGCTATGATCTTGAATTTCCAGAACTGGGAGCTAAATACATTTTCTTAATAAAGTATACAGCCTTAGATATGTTGTTATAGCAATATAATATAGACTAATATATGGTATGCTTAAAATGACAGAATTTTATTGACAACAAATGAGTGTCTTCCAGTAGTTGGGGGTCAGAAAAGACTGTGACTACAAAGAGGTAACATAAGGGAGATTTTGGGGGTGACAGCACATTTATGTATTGTACAGTGGCAATTAAATTACTATAAATGAGTTAAAATTCATAGAACTACATACCAAAAGGAGTATATTTTGGTTTGTATTCATTAAAATATTAAAAACAACAAAGCTGGTGTCTCAGGCCACAGCAGATATGGCCTACCTAGTCACAAGAGATGATAGTGTATTTCAATCAAAACTGCCCAATATGAAGTTTCAATACCTTGGTTACTTTCTAAAAAGTAAGAAATTAGCTATTTTTACTACATTATAAAAGTGACAAAAGGTATAAGAGAAATGAAGAGACTTATAAAGGTTAATTCCTTTTCTATACCAAAAGTTTAAAACACGTTTAACCTGCTAAAATCTTGAATTTTCAGAGACTGGTATATCATGAAAAAATTAAAAACATTTGTTAGCACAAAAATATACAATTAAGGACACTAATTGTAGAACAGAGTTAAAGAAAAATGTAAAATTATCATATGCTACTGTCTGAACATAGTTTGTTGTCTCTAAAAGCCATCTTGAAATGTGTTTGCTGTCTCACTTAAATGAAGAATGGAAATATGAGAAGCAGTTGCAAGGGTCATATGCTAGGGGTGCAGGATCACTGAAGTTTGAGAGCTAATCACAAGATTACAGAAGGATTCTCTCTACCCTACTTACAACTATATCAATAGGGCTTCTCTACAATGACAATTACAACCAAAGGGCCTAAAAGATTCAGAACCAAGTTAAGGAGTCTCCAAGGAAACTCAATGACAACAGGGAGGACAAAAAATAGGAATTTAAGAGGAAATTTTATATTGATAGACAGCCACAACAAACATTAAACACAGCTAACTTCTAGCCAAATAAACATAAAATCTCACACAAAAAGCCTATTTATATCAGTAGTTCTAAATACATCATGCCCAATTTTTAAAAAATTATAAGGCATGCAATAAGTAATAAATAATCCAAATATAAAAATAAGCATCAGATCTAGACACAGATAAAACAGATTTTGAAAATATCAGAGCAGGAATTTAAAAGTACTATGGTCAAGGGCCGGGGATTTGGCTCAGTGGTTCCACCACCTGCCTCACAAGTGCAAGGGCCCAAGTGCGATCCCCGTACCAAAAAAAAAAAACAAAAAGAAAGAAAAGAAAAGAAAAAAAAATTACTGCAGTTAATAAGCTAAAGGCCCTGGTGGAAAAAGTGGATAGACTACAAAATGGTAAGCTGAGAGAAGGAAGCTCTATGGAAGTATCAAAAGATTATGATAGAAATCAAAAACACTAACAGAAATGAAGAAAATCTACAATGGGGTTTGCTTTGGCAGCACACTGACTAAAGCTGTAGTCATGGAGATTAGCAAGGTCCACATGCAAGGATAACACATAAATTTGTCAAGTATTCCATATTTTAGAGGACCTCAGAATGACTTGTTCACATGCAGCAAATGTAAAAATAAAAACTGGGCTTATACACAGGCACAAACCTGTAGCACTAATTAACCAATGACAATATCTGTTGTCTGTAATTAATGTAGAACTTTATGGAAGTTCTGCTAAATTGTGAGGATTCTGGACCATTAAGAAAATGCATTTTCTAATTAGCTTTAAATCTAGGCCAAGCAACTAGTTTTCTTATGTCAGATTTTTAAAACAACTTACATCCTCCTCTGGGTTAGTTTTGTTTTCTGACCTAATATTGTTTACTCAAATGCCTTCTATAGTTTAAGATCAATAGGAAAACCATATGATAACTATATGATTCTCTTTTTCAACACATTTTTGCACTTTAATAAGTTGATATTAATCTTTTTAGAAATTTACCTGTATTTTTTTTCTTAAAGGGAAGCATTCGTAACTTTTTACTAATCTGAAACATACACAGTATGAATTATATTATTCTCTATTAATATATAAAATATATTTTATATTGGAATGTACATATATATTAAAGGAAGATAAAAAGTAATATAATTTTAAGTAGCAAATTTGGTGTATAGTCTTTTTTTCATTAAGTTTATTGTACTTTTTAGGTATACAGTAGTTATATTCATCATTCGGATCTTATACACTTATTACATGATGTATCTTGGTTCTTATTTTTTCCCAATACCCCTGTTCTCCCTTTACCCCCTCCACCCTTCTCTATTTACAAAGACTTTGTTTCTATGTTTTTCCTTTTCTCATTTTTCTTTTCCCTTCTTTCCTTTCCCCTTCCCCAACACCTTTAGTCCTTTTCTTCCTATTTCACATTATTAGTTATATAATGTGAACCTTATTTACACTTTTAGTTTTTCACACCAGAGAAACTATTTGGTATTTACATGTGTGACCTATTTATTTCACTTAAGAGTATGGCCTCAATATGCAACCATTTAGCTAAAAATGACTTTAGTTTCTCATTCTTTATGGCTGAGTAAGTACACCATTTTAAAGAAAAACGAAAATGTGGTTTATATTCAACTAATACTTGACCAGCTTCATTAAATTGGACATAATCACAATCCTGGGATTAGTAGATATTATTTTGTATGTGTATCTAGCCATGATCTTTCTTATGATTTCTTGTATACATATATTACTTGTTCTTAATAGATTTCACTTTTGGAAATATGACTTCGTTGAACAAAAGAATGTCTATGATGGGCTTGTTATCCAACAGGACACAACAAATGAAAGAATCAACTTGAAGATGTCAACAGAAACCTGACACAGTGAAAAGCAAAGAATAAAAATAATCAAAGAGCAGAAAACAATATGCAAGACCTAGAGGACAATTATAAAAGTTATTACAGTACACCCTTGAGTTATGACTGGCCTCACATATGAACAACTTGGGTTATGACCAGAATTTTAGTTTTAACTTACAAGCAAAGTGTTGAGTTACAACCTGAATGCCAGTCATGTGTGTGGTTGTAAACAGACTTATGATACCAGAAAAGCATATGTAAGACTCAGTCTCAGCCAGATGCATGTGTTTGTGGATGTGATTTTGTTCAGTTTTTTGTTTTTTTTTTTCAACCAGGGATCGAACTCTGGCCCTGCGCTTACGAGGCAGGCACTGGAACCACTGAGCTAAATCCCCAGCCAGTCAATTCTTTATATAATCACTACAATTACTGCTATCAAAATGGCCCCCAAAAAGCTAGAAAAGAAGCTAAGGAAGGAAGGGAAGGTAAAGAAAGCAATTACAATAAAAAAGAAATTGTGCAGAAATATGAGAGTGGCGTTTTTGTGGCTGATCTCACTAATATGTACAGCACATGTCAAAATCTACCATCTAGGCAATTTTACAGAGAAAAGATTTGTATAAGGAGCTAGTGTTGCTAAAGGTTAGTAAGTCATGAGCAACAATATTAGATGAGGTAGAAAGTCTATTAATGTGGATAAATGAAAGGCAGGTGGCAGGATAGAGCCTGAGTCTATAATATGTAAAAAAGCTAGGGCTACAAATGCAGATCTTGTAAAAAAGAATCCATTGATGAGTGATTACAGTAAAACATTTCATGCCAGTACGGGGTGGTTTCAAAATTTTAAAGTGAGAACTGGGGTTCACAGTTTAACTAG